CGTCAGCTAAGTTGATAAACAATTAAGAAAAAACATGGCAGACACTTCTGAAGAGGTTGACATAGAGGCAACTACAGCAGTTGTATTTTATAAAATTCCAATAAAAGCGTTTGATTCAATCTGCCATTTCTACAGCGTGTTTATTGGTATTATGTATTCCTTAAAGCGACTTACCTGTATGCCCAGTGCCAGGTGTACCCAGGTAGGCCAGGCCTACAGTCATATATCTGCTTATTGAGAGTGTAACGAACCCCCCCCCCATCTTTTTTTTTGTTTTCTACTATATATCCACTTATACTTGTATTTCTTTAGAATCTATATCTGTAAGATATATAAATATATCTAATTTAGTTGACCAGTATAACTTGATCTTTCTAAAGGTTTAAATATTATAGGCCGTTTAATAAATTTATGGCGTGATCGTCTTAGTTAGGACCCTTTTTTACGTTGTGTTTGTATAGTCACTTAGTTCTTTTAGGTGTATCTTGGAAGAATGAATATTCACGAGAGCAATCGAAAGCTGTTGGTAGAGCTAAAGAACCCCGTTCACGAAGACAGAGCTCAAAAAGTTTAAGAACAATAAATTGTCCCTATTCCACTTGTATCTGGTTCACAACAGTCAATTCCGTATTAATTAATCCCTTCCCGCTTGGAAAAGGCTCACAATATTTATATCAAATACCAGTTACAAGGGCTTCGCCCGCTCCAGTTACAAGGAGGTACACGGCCCCACACACGCCGCGCACGGTGAGCGCCAACCATTTTAATGCGCTCCCCCCGAAGGATACGCAAAGTTGGGAACTGGACCGTAGTCCACAGCAAAATAACTGGCGAACCAGTAAAAGAGGACTTGGCCCCTTGATAGTGCGTAAGCACAAACATCGACCGAAGTCGCGCATGTCAATGCGTGTAAACGCCATACAGAATACGATCAAATCCAGCCACAGTGAAATGTACGTCACACGGGTTAGGCAACAATCGGCACACTGACCATAAAAAGCCCTCCGTGAGCGCCACCACCTGCCAGACCGCCGTTTCTGCAGACGTGATGTAAGTGTAAGGCATCACCACCAATTGCATGGTCAGCACGGCCAATTGGCCGCAGAGCGTGTCATGAGTCTACCGCTCACCTCAAGGGAATGGAGTCCCACGTTGCGCGGCTTTCGGCCGCAGCCTTGAGAGCCTCCTCAGATTCTCCCTCCAGCTACCACCCGCATGAGGTCAACACATATGCTCCACCAACCAATACAATGGCAGATATAGCCAATAGGCAGTTATAAGATAATATTAATAATTCGCCATCAGAAAGGGTTTGTGTCACTGACGTTGAGTATATGCATTTTTCGATCATGTTTGTCTCACCCACCAACAAGTTGCCTTCAATCTCTCAAAGGTTGGAACTTTATAGAGATATATTATTAAGTTGTTATATAAAACATCATGGATGGCAGACAGACTGCAGCCCCGCAATGAAGGGACCCGACTTGGGCAAAGCTACTTAGGTTGTGAGTCAAACAAAGACGCAGAGAGCGCCATTGAGAATAGCGACCCGCCAAACAACCATCGTAGAGACGCAATGCTACAGAATGCTACAAGCATCAATACGACTATCGTCGGGCTTACACCATCCCAAGGTCCCCCATACAGTCCCAGCAGACATCACCACCCGCATACCTCCATCGACCAGAACCATAAGATGCATAGAATCAGGTGCAGCACACCCGCAGATCCATCACAAGACACAATACTGCGAGTAGCAGTAAGCATCAATGCAACTATCATACGGATGGCGCCCCCTCACAACACACCCACATGATCCCTATCGACTTTGGTAACAAAATTTGATAATGTTGGCCTGTTGGTCTAGTGGTTAGTGACCCTGACTGCTACGCCGGAGGTCGTGGGTTCGATTCCCACCCAGGATAAATGTTTGTGTGATGAGCACGATCATTTGTTCTGTGTCTGGGTGTAATCTATCTATAATATTTATGTATTTAGAAATATATAAGTATGTTTATCAGTTGTCTAGTACCCATAACACAAGCTCTGCTTAGCTTGGGACTAGATGGCGTTGTTTGATAGTTGTGGAATATTATTATTAATATTATTATTATGTTGTTAACTAAAATTACCACCAACGTATCATAGTAGTACGGTACTAAGACGTCAGTAGCCAAAACTCCACGTATCATAGCGCTATTGCACTAAGACATGAAGCTAAGTATGCTTGCTGCACTTAAAAGTACTACCAAACACACTCACCCTAATCCGAAAGATAGCCGACGTATCATAACGCTATGCTAGGGGTGTGCGATGTCCACGGGCAAGTCGTATTGCTACAACAAACCCGCTTACCACCGGCACTAAGATGATATGTCTAGGACACATCGGTTAGTGAGTCCAAGTTTACCTCGGTCTCAGAGGCTGCGAAGCAACCTACACGCCACTATAATAATCCTTTTCAAGTCCCATTTCTTTCAATATAATGCTTTTAGATATTTGAGACCTTCCACATATTTGCTTTATTTCATAGACCATACTACTGTATGTCTTATTCATATGGGACTTCAAGTCATAACTCTGCTATCATAATGCTTATGCATCATAGAGACCTTCTATATTAATGCTTTGGTTCGTCAGACCTTACTATGTTAAGTCCCTAATATAGGACTAGTCATTGTGCAACCTTAGTACTAGCAGTCGGTCAGCCGACCACCCCATATATATGTACAACCTTGGGTATGTGTCTCCGACAACGCCCCAATATAAGGGAACATTACAAGAACACGTTCATTAACTTAGAAATTTTCCAATTATTACAAGAACACCTTCATCAACTTAGAAAATTTTAATCCATTTTTTCTATTATATTACAAATGTTATTTATCTTTATTATTGCAATATAATCGCCTTGTATTAATATGATTTGATACATTTTAACATTTTAAGCAGGTTTTCAATAAATTTAGAGATTTTTAGAGACATTTTATGCGTTTACTAATATATATACGAGGGTGGATTGAAAAGTACTTGGCCTAACACAGATCCATTCAATTCTAAAAATCAAATCTACACACATTATTTAGTTCAGTTCAGACTAGTTCATTGTATGAAGTTTGAAACGTGTGTGATAATTAGTTGTGATTTTATAAATTTATTAACAAAGTAATCGGACATAATTTCCGCGAATGGAGCAAATTGAGCAGCGTGCCGTCATTAAGTACCTCCATAAGAAGGGGCTATCATCAAAAGCCATCCATGATGACATGGTGAGTACATTAGGCGATTGTGTTCTGTCATATTCATCCGTCAAAAAATGGATAGCAGAATTTAAGCGTGGTAGAGAGAGTGTGAAAGATGAACCCCGCTCTGGAAGGCCTTCGACGTCAACTATTGACGAAAATATTAAAAAAGTACTTGATTTAATAATGGGAGACCGCAGATTACTCTAATTTATACAAAAAGAAATTATTATTTAAAATATTTTAATAAGTGAATAGCATTGAAAATTCCTCTAATTTCGTTTGTCTCTGGATTTGCTAAGGTATATACATTGTCAAATGGTACGGCTGCTATTACATAAGGTCCTTCATATGCCAAATTGAACTTACTCATAACTTTATTATCAGCGTCTGATCTACTAGATCTTGAAATTTTTACTAAGTCACCAATATTATATTTTATTAATCTATTTCGCTTATCAAATTTTGTGTTTCTTATTCGACTTGCCTCTTTTAAATTTTTACGCACTTGTTGTCTAATTTGTTCGACATTATGTTTGTCTTTACTTTTGGAAATTACTTTGTCAAAAGACATCTCATTACAGACTCACCATAAAGAATCTCACAAGGCGTGAAGCCTGTACTATTGTGATAAGAATGATTATACAATTCTTCTAATTTCGGCAATATTAATGCCCAATCTTTGTGGTTAGTATGACAAAGTGTCCTAAATAATCTGCTCAACACTTTATTTACTCGCTCTGTTGTATTTGGTCTAGGATTTCTAACTGTGGTATATATTGGCTTTATATTTAATTCACTCATTGATTGTTTCCAGTGATTACTTACGAACTGTTTTCCATTATCTGTCATTATTGCCTTGGGCTTTATAATCTCAACAAAATACTTTACTTTTGTTACAACAGACTTTGCTGTTGACTGTTTTAAAGGATATAATTTGATAAATTTACTAAATGAATCTTGAATGACAAATATGAAAGTGTACCCAAAGGTACCTGATACAAGTGGTCCATATAAGTCTGCCATGACTATATCGCCAATGTTTTCTGTTATTATAGATTTGCAGGGACCCACATATGTTATATTGCTTTTCTTAGATAACTGACATAAATGACAAGCCCTTAATTGGTTTTTAATATCTTTTGTTAAACCTTTCCAAAAGAATCTGTCTCTCACATATTTAATTACCTTATAGGGTCCTTGATGACCCATTTCGACATGCACTTGATTTATAATATCTTGTCTCAATGCTTTAGGTAAATATATTACTTCTTGTAAATTCGTTTTGTAATATAATACATCATTTTTCAAACTATACCTTTTAAATTTATTGTTTTGTTTTATTATGGAAGTATTTAATGTCTTTAACTTTTCAATAATAGCCAACGACTCTGAATCTTGTAATTGATATACTGATAAGGATTTTAATTTTTCTATCAACTCAATATTCGGTTCACTCTCTGTGTAAGCAATTTCTAAACTATTATTTTTATCCTCTTGTATTAAATCGCCATCAGGAGGATAACGTGATAGCACATCTGCAACAATATTACGTCTACCCGATATATGCTGTACTTCATAATTAAATTGTTCTATATACAAAATCCATCGGGTTACTCTACCATTTAATAACTTCATATTATTAATAAACAATAATGCTTTATGATCAGTTAGTATTATTACTTTACTGCCCCTCAAATATGTTTCAAATTTCTTTAGGCAGCTTATTACAGCATAAAACTCTTGTTCAGTAACAGATCAATTTAATTCGGGGCCTTTTAAGGCTTTACTATGATAGCCTAAAATTCTCATTTCATTATTATCATCTATCTGATATAGTACTCCGGCCATACCCACACCGGAACAATCTGTTTGTAAATAATACGGCTTATTAAAGTCTGGATGATGCAATTGTATTGTATTAATAAATTGTTGTTTTATAAAATCAAATGCCTTCTGTTCTTTACCGCTCCATTGGAACTTTCGTCCCTTTTTAAGTAATTCACAGAGCGGTATTATGCTCTCGCTATAATTTGGTATAAACCTTCTATAAAAATTGCATAGACCTAAAAAGGCCCTTAATTGTTTAATCTTTTTAGGTGCTGGAAACTCTTGGATCGCTCCAATCTTATCGGGATCTGTCTTTATGCCTTCTGTTGAAATTATAAAACCCCGCATTTTAATTTCTTTACAAATAAATTCACATTTCTGCAAGTTACACGTTAAGCCAGCTTTGTTCAATTTACTTAAAACAATATCAATGTGCTCCAAATGTTTATCTAACGTTCCTGTTGTAATAATGGCTACATCATCTAAATAGTTCACACAAAATTCTTGGACTTCTGGTCCTAATATTAAATTCATGGCTCTGCTAAAGCTTCCTACTGATGTTTTTAATCCTTGCGGCAAAACATTATATACATATGACTTTCCATTAAATGTGAATCCAGTATATTTTCTACCATCTTTATTTATCGGAATTTGAAAATATGCATTATTTAAGTCAATGGTAGTGATATAATTCGCTCCGTGAAATGAATTCAAAACATCTAATTGTATAGGTGGTTTCTCTGTTTCTGCAACCATTTTCTTATTTATGCTTCTGGCATCAAGCAGAACTCTAATTGAGCCGTTTTTTTTAAGAGTGAATGTCAATGGACTACTGTAAGGCGTTGATGTCTTTGTGATGATACCAGCTTGTTCCATTTCATTTAACTTTTCTTCCATTTTCGCTCTATATGCATATGGAATGGGATAGGACCTAGTAACTATAGGTTCATCATCGATCATTTCAATTTTATGCTCATAGCAATTGGCTCTTCCCAATTTGCTCGAAAACATATTCTTATGCTTTTCCAAAACCTTACTAAGTTTTGCCCTTTCAGAGATCTCCAATGTAGATCCTATTTTTATATTTATAAAGGGATCATCGGTACATTGTTTGATGCAGTTATTATGTAATACAGATTTATTATTATATTTCAAAGGTATAAAGTAGTCTTTGTTTTTCACTTTAAATTCTATTCCAACAGTAGTATTTCTCAAATCAATCAATATTTTATTTCTCTTGAGCCAGTCAAAGCCTAATATTAAAGGTCTTATTAAATTACCTACAATTAAAGTTTGTGTTTCAAAGACTACTTCATCTATCTTTATAGGCAATATGATCATCTGTTGTATTTTTGTGCTGCGCTGCCCAACAGCACCTTTTATTTGCATTGCTTTAACTGGCATTATTGATATTTTACGATTATTATCTTTAATTTGTAAATATAAACTTTCTGAAATGCATGTAACATCGCTCCCAGTGTCGAGGAGCGCGTCTATTTCTTTGTCAAATATTGAAACTTTAATTTCAGATCTCATATTCCCTATAAATTCCCTTTGATAATTATCTTCGTCTTCCTCGAAGACGGTTTGCACGAATAACTCCGTTATGGGCAAGTCCGACCTGGCTTTTAAGGTGTTTAATATGCTATTTACATTGTCGTTATAACCAAGGCCTTCTCTGTTAAAATTTGCTTTTAAAGTAATAGGTTTTCGCAACCCTCTATTGTTATTACCCAATGTTTGACCAGGTCGCCAACCCAGTTTTAATAACATATTTAATGCTTTGTTCCCTTTTACATTGTAAGGGGTCGAATCGGGAACTAGTTCGACCTCTACAGCTTTAAATTTGGCTCAGGGGCCGTAACATCAGATTGGTCATTAGTGAAATGTATTTCATGTACTTCATTAACCTTCTTTTTTTCCTCTTCGCGTTTACGCCATGTTTTGTATGATTGTTGTATTTCTTTATGTTTTTGCTCCGTATTATTATTAAACTTCCTCCTTTTCTCATTATAGTGAGGTTCACGAACTTCATCTTGTTTCTCGATGTCATCTAAGTTTCTTAAGAAATCTGTCGTGTCTATTATTGTCTCAATTTTAGCTATTCTCCATAATTGCTGCACAGTTTTAGGATAATGTCTGATGACATCAGTTACTAATTGTTTTTCAGGTATCGGATATGATAATGTTTGTGCCTTCTCAACCACATAAAGAAAATAACTAACCATGGTGGGGTGTGTACTTCTATTCCATTTATTTTGCACAAGAAATCTCTTTACTTTATTTTGTTCTTCTTCACCCCAAAACACTCTTAGGAAGTCAGCTTTAAAATCATCAAAAGTTGTCCAACGCACATTATTAATGCGAGCCCAATACTTGGCTTCACCTACTAAGCACTCTTGTGCAATCGAAATTTCGAGACCATTAGATGGAACTTTCTTTTCTATGCATTCATTCAGAACATTCTTTTCTTTGTATGCTGATGATGCAGTGCTTATTGCACCATCAGAGGCAGAACTGCAGGCATTAGTCACGTGTATGAAAGAGGAATGTGAAATTAAAGGTCTCCGTTTGAATGCTAATAAAACTAAGGTTCTGGTATTTGAAAGGGACGAAGAGAGAACGAAGTGTGAAATATGGGTAAATCAGGAATGTCTAGAACAGGTAAATGAAATTGTATACTTGGGGAGTGCTTTTAGCCGGGATGGAAGATGTGATTTAGATGTGGACAGGCGTGTCGCTGCCGGGAACAAAGTCAATGGTGCCCTGACTGCGTTAGTCAAAAGGCAAGGCGTAGCGAAGAGTGCACGCCTTGCAATACATAACGCAGTGTTGGTACCGACTTTGTTATATGGCAGCGAAACCTGGGTATGCCAGAAGAAGCATAAAAGTAAGTTGAATGCAGTGGAGATGCGATCTCTTCGTAAAATGTGCGGCGTTACTATGGCCGACCGAAAGCGAAACGAAGAGATTCGCAATATGGCAGGTTTGAAAAATGACCTTATCACAAAAATTGATAAGGGCGTGCTTCGGTGGTTTGGGCACGTTGAGCGAATGAGTGAAGACCGAATGGTGAAGAAAATATATAGCGCGAAAGTTAATATTAAAAGGTGTCGAGGTAGACCGAGACTAACTTTCGAAGACCATGTGAGCAAATTGCTCGAAGAGGGTAGGGTCAAGAGTACTCGGATACCTAGACGTGCATGTATGAAGAATATAATGAATCTGAAAGAAGCGAAAGAGATATGTAAGGATCGTGACACTTGGCGATCTGTTCTCTCTGGCTACCCCGTCAGGGATTGTGCGTGAAGATAAGTAAGTAAGTAAGTATTAGATGGAACTTTCTTTAAATAATTGGTGAGATCTTCCAAAAATGATACTGGATGAGTATTTCCATTTCCAAATTTCGGCTTTTCTATTGTTACATTATGTACATTATATACAATATTTTGTCTAGGATCATTTACATGAGAGGTGCTCGCCCCGGACACCTCTCCTTGATTTATTTTAATTTGGTAATCTTTCGTTTGGTTAATAAATTTTTCCTCAAGATCCTTTATTTTAACCTCAAAGGTTTTCACTGCATTCTTAATTAATTTCTGAAGCATTTTCATCTCATCTTTATACTTAGCCTTAATTGAGGTTGATTTTTTCTTATATTTAGCCATTTTTAATTTTTATTTCCACTTGTTTTTTTTTTTTTACACTTTTTTTGTCCTTTACTTACTTTAATTGAGTTTTTCCACTTATTTCACTTTATAATATATAGTATTGCAGTTTTTTTTTTACACCTGTTGTGTCCTTCGCTTAGTTTAATTGAGTCTTTCCACTTATTTCACTTTTTATTATTTCGCTCCGTTATGCACACACCTCCTATGTCCTATGTCTATGATGTCCACGGGCAAGTCGTATTGCTACAACAAACCCGCTTACCACCGGCACTAAGATGATATGTCTAGGACACATCGGTTAGTGAGTCCAAGTTTACCTCGGTCTCAGAGGCTGCGAAGCAACCTACACGCCACTATAATAATCCTTTTCAAGTCCCATTTCTTTCAATATAATGCTTTTACATATTTGAGACCTTCCACATATTTGCTTTATTTCATAGACCATACTACTGTATGTCTTATTCATATGGGACTTCAAGTCATAACTCTGCTATCATAATGCTTATGCATCATAGAGACCTTCTATATTAATGCTTTGGTTCGTCAGACCTTACTATGTTAAGTCCCTAATATAGGACTAGTCATTGTGCAACCTTAGTACTAGCAGTTGGTCAGCCGACCACCCCATATATATGTACAACCTTGGGTATGTGTCTCCGACAACGCCCCAATATAAGGGAACATTACAAGAACACGTTCATTAACTTAGAAATTTTCCAATTATTACAAGAACACCTTCATCAACTTAGAAAATTTTAATCCATTTTTTCTATTATATTACAAATGTTATTTATCTTTGTTATTGCAATATAATCGCCTTGTATTAATATGATTTGATACATTTTAACATTTTAAGCAGGTTTTCAATAAATTTAGAGATTTTTAGAGACATTTTATGCGTTTACTAATATATATAATATTCAATATTCCAAATGGATATTTTTGAACTCTATGCTTATTATTTGCATTTTATTGTTTAAGTTATAATTTCTTAGACATTTTTAAATGTCTGTATAATGAATTTAATTATTATTTATTAATAATAATTATGAGGCGTCACAAGAGGACTGACACTTTTCCACAAAGTTTCATGATGCATCAAACACTTCATGAAAAATACGTCTTGAGCTCTCGGACCATTATTCCACATTGATAAAAATTGTATGTAGTCGTTATGCTTTGACAGTTGAAATATTTTCAACGACGCAGCAGAAATATTTTCCTTTATAAATTAATATTATGTCTGAAACCAAAAAATAATTATAATAATAACTGTCTTATATATTTACTGATCTTTTTGTTGAAATTTTTAAGCCAGAATTGGTGTCTACATAACAAAATAAGAAAAGTTAAATATACGTAGCTTTTGACCGTTGAAAATTGATTAGTGTTATTTAGTTTTAATATTTTTTTTGTATTTATTTTGATAAAATCCATTTGTTACTGCAAAATCTTCACTGGAAATAAAGTAACAAATTTTATTGTATTTATGGTTCACTATTTTGGTAATAATGGCTCCACATAAAAGATAGATAATATATTATACTGTTGCGGACTTTTTTGTTGAACTGTTTAGGAGAAACAATTCTACCATACATTATATTTGTGTAGCTCTTACAGTTTTTGCACCGCACGCCAAAATAGCCCACACATGACAGATTTTTTCCGACTTTCTTAACACTTATCGTTATATTTTGACCTATTTACACAATTTCTTTATTAATTATAGCCTATGTGTTGTTCTCATGTATGAGCTATATTATTGTAAAGTTTCATTAAAATATATTCAGTAGTATTTGCGGCGAAGAGTAACAAACATCCCTACATCCTCACAAACTTTCACGTTTACAATATTATTTTTATATTAGGATAGTAGGACAAACAAAATACGAAGAAACTTTTACCTCGACCTATTATATGAAAGGGTTTCTATATATTTATTGTTTTTTTTTTAGATTTATAAATATTTTTATTATTTTATGGTTTCTAACAATGAAACGTTATATTTAAATTTCAAATCCCTCGCAAAAATAGCTTTAATAAATTACGTGCTTGCAAAGCGCTTCCGGTCTGTCGTGCTGCTATTTATTTATGATGTTGTTTTCATTTTATCTTTTTAATTAAAGATAATACAATATTATAGTAAGAAAATAGCGCTAGCGCATTTTTAAATTTTTTGTAAAATTATTTTTCGAAAGTGTGTAGAAATTAATAAAAGAAAATGTG